CAACGTGGTAACCATGCTCTTCATTAAATGACTGTGAAAATGGCATGCCGCTGTGCAATGCTGTTCTTCCTGCATCCTCTTCCCTTCCAAAGCAGGACCACACCTATCTGATTTTTTATAAACTCCCAGTGATCAGAAGTGTGGAAATAATAACACTCATTTACCAGATTAGTAGAACTTCTTCCGTTTCAAAGACTTCTCCGTGCTTTCTAAAGTTTAATAAACTTGGCTTGATGGAAGCTCCTTCCTCCAAAGTATCCGAGAGGAGCATTTAAAAAGAAAACCTGCCCTTGGGCTGACTGTCAGCATCCATGCCTTCACCCGCTTTGTGCAGCTCAAAGGTGAGACAAACCTCAGGCCTGAAGCCAGCTGCCTGTGCCAGACTAGTGCTAAAGCAAAGTGTAAGGAGTGGGGTTGAGCTGAGACCCCGAGTCAAACCTTCAGCTAATGTGGTAATACAGCCCCAGCCCGAAATGCTGTTGTTTCCTACAGCACAGGCTGAGAGCAGTACAATAATGCTTTGTAAATCTCACCTGCTCTGAGCTGATAATATTGTTCTCCTTTAAGAGACTGAGTCACTGGGAGATGTAAGGTAGTGGTGACGACTGAAGCGACTTGTTTGGCTGGCTCTCAGGAGAGGACAAAGATGCCTTTGCCTACTGCTGTAGCCTTGCCACAGGACTTCCTTTTACCCACTTGGCCAGTAACGGCTAAAATACTAAGAATTACCTTCACAGGCATTTCAGTTTTTATAAAAACACGGGCCGGAGGGTAGAGAGTACCAGCCCCGCAGGGTTCCCACTGTTTCCTGTTTGTTCTAGATCTCTTTCATGGGCAATTTTCTTCCAAAGCTTTCTCCTTCGAAGCACGTTACTATTCTGCTTAATCCTCATTCAAACTTCAGTTTGCCACAGGTAACTCAGTCAGGCAGCATCCACCACTGCTGTCATCAGAAAGATGCTGAGGGCTTTGGAAACCCCTCGTCAGAACATCAGAAGCAACTTTTCCATTCAACTCTGCTCCAATTTCTTTTGCTTGTTTTGACCCATGCCAGGTCAAAATACTGCAAGGTAGTGTCATCTAAAAATTAAAAAAAAAAAAAAAAAAAAAAAAGGATAATTAAATGACTTAATTATTTGTGGCTAGATTTCTCTTTTGCAGCGTGTGTCTGCTTGTATTATGATATCAGTTTCACCTGCTAGCATATGCAATATGAGCCTCCCTGCGAGAAAGGAAAACGAGAGCTGCTTTCTCTGCCTGTTCTGCTAATCTGCCCCTGCCCTACTTATTGCTCATACATCTAATTTGGCATAAGGTGACACACATCCCTGGCACAGGCATTCACATTTTTACAGTACTGTGGCTTGGCAGTTTATTTCTTACTTAGGTGTGTCCTTCCTAAATAGGCAAGCTAATGGAGAAAATTTACTCATTTCATCACTCATTTAATCTCATGCGTTTCAATTTGTCATACTTTGCCGTGTCTATTTCTGACATCTCACTTCTTGTATCAAGGAGATATATATTCTCCTTGGAAGTATTCTGCCACTGACACTTCTTTATTCCGAGTAATCTCTTTGAAACAGCCTCACATTTGTTATCAAGACCTCCACACGCCTCCCAGCACTCAGAAGAGAAAGCACAAATGTAACTGATTGTGAATTCTGTAACTTGGCTAATGTTCCAGTAATTTGCTAATAGCTTTTACTTTCTCCAGAAGTATTCGTTTCTGTCTACAGGCTGCTAGATGCTGGAGGACAGAGTCTGCAAGGAACTCAGGGAAGCTGGCAAAGGAAAACTTCCACAACAGCTCCCCAGTTAAAAATCATCTTATCCTGGGATCGGTGCAGACCTCTTGATACCATTTTCTCTAATTAAATCTCTGAGAGAAAGTTATGAAGTGAATTTCAAAATAAACATTTTTACTTGGTGGAGTTGGCAGCATAAGGAAACTGTTTTGCAAAGAAGTGTGCAAATGCAGTTTTACAGAAAGTGTCAAATAAATGTTTGCTTTTGCTCTTAGAAACCTTTGCTCAGTGATACTTGCAGGAAGGATTCCCCTGTGCCAGTGTCTGCCTGGGGGATGGGAACTGTGTGAAAAATAACAGTGTGTTAGAATGCAAAACAAGCAGCTGAGAGAACAAATACAGAATACTTAATGATAATGTCCAGGCAGCCGTCCACTGTGCCCTGTCCAGACACTTAGATCAAAGTCTTATGCAAATGCTCAAAGGCATGATGCCAGGTAAAAGCAAACTCTTAAACAGCTCTGGATGTAAAAGCAGCTCCATTCCCACACTTTGATAATCCAAAAGACGTTATTTTTTTAATCTTTTCTAAGTTCTTGAACAAAAGTATTCAACAAAAGCCTTGGTAAAACAAAACAAAACAAACCAAACAAAACAAAACAAACACACACAACAAAACAGTTCCTCCCCCCCAGCCTTTTCTCCCTTATTCGTTTCTGGTATATTTGTATTAATCCCATTCATATATGCTGCAACACTGATACAAGTTCCAAGGTAACTTTGAGGGGAATGAAAACAGTTCATTTCTCACAATTTCTTTGTCTCTATAAAAGCTGGGTTCTGCCTCCACTGAAAATGCAAAGGTTAATTTTCTAGTTGAAGTTTTGGACTGAGACTCAGAAGACACAGTGCTTGCTACATATTTGGGCTACTCTGGATGCATTACCTTAGTTCTGTACACCATGATCCGTCTCAGCTTCAGCTTCCTTTGACGTCCCTTCCTCCTTCTACCCCTTATCAAACCCTGTCAGTTTGAGCCCAGCAGAGCGTAAGAAACTATTTCCACAGTCTTTGCTCCTCAGCACCATTTGGGTAAGCAGAATGATGGAAAATATCACTGAATCAATATTCGGGAAGAGTAAAGACTATGAAAAATTAGTTCTTACAGGTATTTCTACGAGCCCTGTTGGCATACTGTTAGTTTATTCCAAAAGTAATTCCTGGGAAGTGAATACTATTCCATGTGAATAATGTAGTGAGACAGCAGAAAGAACAAGGTATGGGGAGTTGAGGTCCGATAATTTTAAACATGAGCCTGTACTGCTTTGGAATTTCTGTGAGACCATTTATATAATAAAGTTACAATTTAAAAAGCCTTACAAATACTGGGAACATTAATAGTGCAAAGTGAACTTCACCTAAGTAGAGTCGGTTCACACAGGTCACTCTTTAAGGCAAGTCATCAATACCTTGTTTTTAAACAAAGGGAGATAACGCCTGTGTTACACCTACTTATGGCCTACACACGGGTTTTCTGTGCTTGCAAGGAGTTCATGTGGTTTTAAGCAGAGCTTGCGGAGACTGACACAAGCATCAAACCAGCATCATTCAGCTCGTCCCATGGCTGCTCTGCTGAGACAATATGAAAAGCTAGAGGATGTGTCCAAGCCAAAAGTGGCATCTGCATTAAGTACCTGGAGAGGAAGGAAGCTCTCTGGAAATATAACAGAATCCCTCTAAAACAACAAGAGACAGAACACTATGAGAATAATAGAAGAAAACAGTACCATTTAAGAAAGCAGGAAAGAAAGATGGTGGGATAACTGTAGACGGGAGAGGGACACAAGCAATGGAAACACGAGGGGAAAGGTGAGTAGAGCACCAGGAGAAGGAGGAGAAACCGTGACGGGTGGCAGCAATAGCGACGCCAGCTGCACTGCTTGCAGTCATGAGAGACTAAGACTTTTCCTGCAGTTGTCAGAGGTTTCTTTATTCTTTTACTCTCAGGTTACTAACAAGGGCCTCCAAGTGCCCTTGGAGCCTGCACTTGCCCCAGCTGCTGGCCCGGCCCTGGTTTTGCTGATTTCTGGCGACATCCCTGTCTGCCAGTGGAAGTTGAGGAGAAGCAGCTTCAACAGTTCTCCCTTGCCCATGCAGCGGCTCCTTGCTGCAGAGAACACCACAGCCTGCTCTGTGTCACGGCTGAGATGAACTGTCACTCCCATTTTAAAGCAGTTCAATTATCAGTTGTCACAAACGGTACCAAAGAGTTGTTAGTGATACTGTGGTATCTCCAGCGAGTAAATCAGGAGTATAAACAATTTTTAACTGAAATGAGAGATTGTTCATAGCTCCTCTCTCACCATCAAAGCATCAAATGCTCCTTTTTTTCTTCTCCCAGGGAGTTGATACTCCATTTTTTCTCCAAGCTGTACAAAAGTTGGTGTTCTATACAGCAGCTGGCAAAGGTTACTCCATTGTCTTTTCTCATGCTTAGTGTGACTTTTTGGCCGTGTTTTAGCTAACAGAATTTGGCAGACTGTAGAAAAAAAAAAATGCACCTAAAGATTAACACTTCGAATATTTTACCATTAGTTTCACAAGACCGGAAGCAACAGACAAACTATCAGAAAATTGTTATTTTCCCCCCTTTAGAAATGAGCAAAGACACAAAACCGAAGCAAGTGAAGCAAAGGTATTCCAGTTCACATGGGGCCCCACATCGTGTTAATAAATTCTATTGCTATTCTGGAGATAAGGTCAGAGGCGCGTCTATGCTCGAAAAGGCAAGAAGTTTATCTTCACAAAACCAAGAGTCACCACCTTCGACAAAATCTGCACGCATGAAAGAAAAAAGTTTCTCCTTTGCATCAAATTACCCATAAAAAGCCCAACATCATAACTTGGTGTAGGCCTGCTGAATTTTCGGTGTATCAATGAATGCTTCAGAGCAATTTTGCATGAGCCAGTGTTTCTTCTCCTTCACAAGTATAGTGAAACATGCAGATGCACTGGAGAATTACATTATTAAACGTGCTGCAGAGTATATTAAAAATGGGTTCCTGCTGAAAGTTTGTTTGTTTTGCACTGCAGTTCTCTTTCTGAGTCTTGCTGATGATCGTTGCTATTACTTAAGTCTCCATCACTTAATCATCCGATTCCCCTGGGAAGCAGGGAAAGGGAAGAGGAAGGGGGAAGAAGAAATCTCACCAGCCGGTGCAATGCCTTTGGTCAACAGAGAACAGGGACTTGACAGAAGTCAGCTGCCTCCTTGGGTCGTTGCTCTGAGATGGTACCACGACCCTCAAGAGGCTGCAAAAGAAACCCAGCCATCACGTTACCACTGAGAGAAGGTCAGAGCACGCACAAAGCACTGCTGTTGAAAAGGTTCCCCCATCCAACAGCAGCAGCTTTTCCCTGCCCTCACCTCCCCATCAGTGGCAGCAGCAGCAAACTGACCGTCTCACAGACTTCCCTCCCCAAGTGTCATCTCTTTCAGTCCCATGCTTGCAGACATTTTCCACATTTGCTTTGCAAGTTAGGTCCATATCTAAGGGAGAGAAACAGACATTAAATTACTTGTTAAAAAAACCAAAAAAACACCACCAAAAACTAAAAACTAAAAAAACAACGAAAACACATGAAATTCACCTCAGCGCAGATGTAGAGGACTTCAAACGCATCGCTGCGTCCCTACTGAATTGCGGAAAACAGACTCCACAATCTGATAGATTGTAAAGTAGGTAAGTTTATTCAGCACTGGGCACACAGGGGATCGCTCCTCCTAATGTGTGTGCTGCCATGTGGCACCGTTGCCTTAGATTTATAGAGCAAATGATTACATATTCATAATATTTCGCAATACGCCTATACATATGCATCACCTATCCCCTCTTCGTATTAAAATTAGCATTTCCATGATCTCCTCCCAGTTGAGTCTGCGCAGTGAGTTCCTTTGGTCCTGGGCAGGGGTCGTGAAGGACTGGGCGGTGGTCGTGGGAGGAAGTATCTCCTCTTCCTTAGTGCTGAACTTTTCACCCCGAATTCCTGCGCAGTCTCTGTCATCCCCTGGACCTGCAGAGCAGGTTTGTGCCGGTTGTGGGGTAATCTTCACTTACTCAGGGGTGGAGGAGGCTTTTACTTAAACAGGAGATAGTGGTCGAGCAACACAAACACAGCACTATCTATCTTGTACGATCTAAAAACTCTTATCTCGACTATTTCCCTTGTCATCCCCTTCTTGCTATTCCCATATTAACCCTTACATCCCCTGTTCCTATCTAGGCCCTGTATCACTACCACAGCTTCACTGATGCATTTCTTCCTGTGGTGACATACGATTACGTCCTTACGTTTGAGCTCGTCCGTTAACCGGCGTTTGCCTTCGTCCCGGCCTCCCACCGAAGCACGCTCTGCGATGAGGAACAGGCTGCCTGACAGCTGCCGACGGCCAGCCGGGGCAACGCCTGCAGCAAGCAGTAGGTAGGCGCTGCAATGCGCATCTTCCCAAGAACACCACACCATGCTGTCCCTGGACGTGCGGCAGCCTCACAGCCGCTGTGTCCCACCAGACCCTGGGACGCGGCGGGTCCTGGCTGGGGATTTGTGGCCCCTCGAGGCCGTGCACCCCTGGAGAGCAGGCGGAACCACCGCCACCCAGCGCCGCGGGGACAGGCGGGATCCTCGGGCACCCTCAGCGCAGCGCTGACACAACGAACCTGCTGCTACCAACACAGGCACCGTCTGCAGAGCGGGGCTGGGAGCTCACCAGCCGCGCCCCACGCTCCCGCAGGCCTCAGCCGCCCGGGACCCCCCTCAGGAGAAGGGGGACGTGACCAGCTCGCCCGCAGCTAATGGCCGCCTGCCCAGAAAATGGCGCCTGCAGGCTGGGGCGCAGCGGCCACGGTCGCACAAAGGCAGGCTTTGTCCCACTTCCATCAGGGTCTCGTTCTTGTTCTCTCGACTGGTCTTCCCAGTTTCAACCCTGCGGTCTGAAATGACGGTTACCTCTTGGCACGTGCCTCAACTGATGCCATGGCTGAGAGATCACATTAAAAAGATTTTGCCCTTTGACAACATTGCTAGCATAAACTTTTCTTCCGGGATGAGGAACGGAAAAAAGCCCAAGGATGAGCCTTCCTGGATCACGTTGGCGATCCCTGCCGATAGCACAGTTTATCTGCTAGGTTCCTGCGTCAGATCAGTCATGCAACATGCCATTAAACTATGGCCTAAGACACAGCACTGAAAGGACAACAAGCAAAATATCACCTCCCAACCGGCACAAACCCGCTCTGCGGTTTAGCCCGGGTCCAGGAGGCGACAGAGACTGCGCAGGAATTCAGGATGAAAAGTCCAGCAGTGAGGTAGAGGAGATACTTCCTGCCCCGACCACTGCCCAGCTCTTCACGACCCCTGCCCCGGACCAAAGGAGCTCACTGCGCAGCCGCAAGGAGGAGGAGACCTAATTATAATAAGAAGCGAGGGTAGGCGGGAATAGGTTATGAATATGTATACGCGTCTCATGAATACGCAACACACTGTAACATATAAGCAAGACTAGAACGGCAGGGGGCGCGCACGCTTGTTGCGGGGGAGCGTTCCGCCGTGCGCCCGGCGCCGAATAAGCATACCTGCTTTACAACCCTGAGTTGCGAAGTCTTTCATCCGTAAATCAAGTGCTCGGAGAGAAAGGGGAAACAAGGGAATTCTGAAAGCCTCGGAGCCGTCACGCCCCCACAACTCGTGCACTCAGGTCACTGTTGGGCGCTGTGCTGGAAACAGCCGCCAGCGCCCCCGACATGAGCCCCCTCAGGGCACCCTGGGGCCGGCAGCCGCCGCCGCTCCGACCGGCGGGGCCCGCGCGCTCCGCAGCGCCGGCCGTACCGATCGGCCCGGCCGCCCGGGAGCCCCCTCAGGAGAAGGGGGACGTGACCGGCGCGCCCGCGGCTAATGGCCGCCTGCCCACAAGATGGCGCCCGCGGGCCGCGTCGCGGCGGTAACGGTCGCCCGAAAGGCGGGTTTTGTCCCGCTTCCATCAGGGTCTAGTTCTCGTTCTCTCGACTGGTCTTCCCGGTTTCAACCCTGCGGTCTGAAATGAGGGTTACCTCTCGGTACCTGCCTCAACTGATGCCATGGCTGAGAGATCGCACTAAGAAGATGCAGCTTCCATTTGGGTACAAAAAATTCTGTTCCTGAACTTCTGTATTGGTTTTGTCCTTGGACAACACTGCAAGCATAAACTTTTCTTCCAGGACGAGGAGCGGAAAACTGTTCGAGGATGAGTCTTCCTGCATCACATTAGCGATCCCTGCCAATAGCGGACTGTATCTGCTAGGTTCCTGCATGAGAAAGGAGGTGTTCTGTGGCTTTGTACAGATGAACTCGCATGAACCTGTAATTCCTGGTTGCCTCAGCAGGGAGACGCGAAGAAATCCGAACAGCGTCGGAGTAAAGGAAGAGGGTATTGCAGGCTGGAATGCCTTTACCGGGACTCAGTGTCAGATCAGTCACGCGACATGAACTACCCTATGGCCTAAGCCACAGCACTGCAGGGACAACCGGTCCCCGCAAACCAGAAGCCAACAACCTGACTAACTGCCAGTGGTTCAAATTTGCCGTACATTTATGACATAAATTGTGCCTCACGTGTTTGATTTTGCCACCTATTTTTCATGGCCTGTGTGAGTGGAAGAACGCTGTGTCCTTCACAAACTGATGTCACCTCTGTTTTCACAGTGGTTTCTCAAGGATGAGGGGGGGTCATGTCCGTCAAACCGTGGGCCTCGTGCTTGCCTCTGCTCTGCAACCAAGACAAAGGCACGGGGGGCGTGCAGAAGCCGTTTCCTGAGATCCTGACACTCTGTTACTGTGGGCCAATCTGGAGTGTACCGCCTCAGCATCCACACAGTTTATAAGACTAATCTTATCAAGAGCTTTATTTTAGGTGGATGAGACATTTTATACTGAAAAAGACCCCAGCGTGATGGTGACTGAGGCTGAGATGACTTGGCAAAGGTACCCGCCGTGAGCTGGAGGTGTCTTGGGAAGGAATTAAGAGTATGGAAACAGTGATGCCCTGCAGCCCGTCTTCGCTGTTCAGGTGCACGTGGGCAGTTAGGGGAGGTCGGTGCCTGCGCACAGAAGACACGGAGGCAAAGGGCAGGGTCGGGAGGTGGTCCTGTCCCACTGTGATGGGAGGGAGGTGGTGCAAGTGACAGCCCTGTGTGTGGCAAGCAGTGGGGAAAGGGCCGGCGTTCGTTGTGAAAATGTATCCCTAAGTCGTGTTTTGGGGAGCCAGGCAGTAATCTAGCCATCGCCTCTTTCCTCCCTGCCGCGGACACAGGTTCTGCTTATGCAGCTTAAGCCACAGCCGGTCCCGCGGACAGGGGAGGGCACCGGGGGCACTTTGCACCGGGAGCCTTCCCAAGACCCCGATGATGTGCATTTGTAACGGCACCTGGAGGCATTGCCAAAGCGACGGAGTTGGGCTTAAGGGCACACACACGGCTCCTTGTCCAACCTTGCTTGCTGGCACAGCCAGCACCCCCAGCGTGATAACTCTGACGAGACCCGTGTGCGTTCGTGTCCACTGCTGAGCTGCTCCGTGGCACAGAGACGCTGCAGCCGGGGCAGCCATCAGTTCCTCGGCTGGCAATGCGGAAGTGGGAGAGCTGTGGAAGAAGCTCTCACCCTCAGGTCTGGCCTCTGCTGAAACCAGTCCTCCTGCATTCCCCAAAACACAGCAAGAAGTTGTTTCTCACGCAGTTCAGGGCACTGAGGGAGGGTTGAGGCTGGGTTCAACGTTAAGAAAGTCCATCCCTGTCAGAACCAATGACCGTCCTCTGGATTCCAGGTCACCCCTCTCCTAAAGCAAAGCCTCCGGGAGAGACCCGGGCAGAAAGCTGACGAGGCACTTCCCAGGGCATAAGCACCAGTTCGCCTCGGGCACTGCTTCTCTGCGCCCTGCAGGGATGAGATCTGTCAAGAGGCACCTTTCCGCATCTGTGTCTGTTCTCACGCCTCCCGTGACAGCAGCTGGGCTCCTCTGGATGCCAGGGCACAGCCAAGGGAGGCAGGAGCCTGTTGTTATAAAGCAGAGTTCCGAGGGCTCTTTTCTGGGGGAGAAGCAATGGGGCATCTACAAAGGAGCCCGCTGCCGTGATTCCTACTGCCACGCGACACGGCAGCTGCTGAAGCCAGCAGCAGAAAGATGAGGTCTCTGCACCCTCTTGTGAACGTTCTCCACAATTACAGCGGCGCAAATCCACGGGCCGTCTGCGGCAGGGAGAGCGGCTGTGACACTCGCTCCTCCAGCACACCAGCAGGCCAGATGCCGGCGCTGAAGCGCTGGTGCTGTCAGCAGCTGTTGAACACAAGCCACGCGAGAAACAGCGGAACTCGGGGGATTATCCAGCCCCTTCGCTGGCGGGTCACTCCTTTCCACACCGGGCTGCCTCACCGACTCCAAAGACGCCTGAACCTGAGCTCTGCACGCACAGACCCGAAGCCCAAACCCCGGCGCAGGCGCAGACACCTCCAGCAGCACAGACATCAGCCCACCTGGAGAGCTTCCTGCTTCGTCACCCGCTGTGGGGTGCAGAGGCACGTGCTGGAGGGGGCAGGGTTGCAGCTCATCGCGACCGGTTCCACTGACCGCCAGCAGAGTCCGGGGGTGATGCCCAGTTGGGTCCCCGTCGGCCCTGCGGCCAAGCCACCTTCCCCCCTGCCCGCTCTGCCCTGGGCCTCCGCTGCGCTGCGGGCGGGCGGCTGCAGCAGGGTTCCCAGCGGGAGGAGGCGCCGCCGACACGGCCCTGGGGCTGCGGGGGCCCACGGCCGTGCCCCCCAGCAGGCGGGCGCCACTGTCGTGGTTTAGGCCTGATTGACAGCCAACCACAATGCAGCACCTCTCTCTCCCTTCCCCTCCGGCAATGAGAAGGGACAGAGAGCCAGGCTTGGGGTTCAAGATAGGACTGGGATGGGGGAAAATCCCCCTTTTATGATCATGAGCAAAAGGCAGACTCGTTAGGGGAAGAAAAAAAAGAACATACATTTATTACAGACACTAACAACACATAACAGAGTAGGACAGTGAGAAGCATTGCCACATCTTGAGAACACCTTCCCCCCACCCCTCCCTTCTTCCCGGGCTCAGCTCTGCTCCCGATATCTCTACCTCCTCCCCCAGTGGCGCAGGGGCAGGGAATGGGGGGTGCAGTCAGTGCTGCCACTTCCTTCATCTTCGGTGAGGGGAGTGTCCAAAACTTGTTACCCCCTGCTCCATCGTGGTCCCCCTCTCACAGGAGACAGTCCTCCACAAACTTTCTCTGACTTGAATTCCTCCTATGGGCCGCAGCGTTCCCCACACTGCTCCGTCATGGGTCACTAACTTCCTCCGACTGGATTCTCTCCCACGGCTGCAGCCCTTCCCGAGCTGCTCCGGCGTGGGACTCCCCCGCATGCTGCAATCCTCCCAGCACTGAATTACAGCAGCGGGGCTACCTTTTTCCATGAGACCCCGGCCTTCTTCGGGCACAGAACCTTGATCAGCCAAGCAGGAACAACAGGCTGTAAATCAATGTCTGCTCCACCGTAGATCTTCATGGGTGGCGGGGGGGGGGGGGCCGCCCTGCCGTCTCACCACAGGATACAGGGGGGTCTCTGCTCCGGCACTCCTCCCCCCTCCTTTCTTCCTCCGTTCCTCCACTGACCTTGGTGTTCATGCAGCTGCAGCAACTCCTCCTCACAAGTCCGACTGCCCGTCACCACGTCCCTTCTTAAATACGTTGTCGCAGAGGCGCAGCCGATGGGCTCAATTTCCCAAACAGAAGTGGAGCTGACGTGGAGCTGGGGGAGCTTCGAGAAGCTTCTCACAGGGGGCCGCCCCGATAGCCCCCTCCCCTGCCACCAAAAAACTCCACCACTCACTCAACCCAGGACAGCCACCTTCGGTGGGGCGCGGGGGGCAGGAAGAAGCACTCAGAGACGGGGTCAGGGAAAAAGGAGTTTATTTCCCCTTCCTGGGAAAGGGGACACGCGGCAGCCCTGCTCTCAGCGCTGGCGGGGCGGCCTCTTGCCGGGCTGGGGACCGTCCCGGGGGCCGGGGGCCCTCCTCTTCGGGGGGCGCCGGGGCCCCCCAGGCGAGCGGTCCCTGCCCCGGCCGGGAGCGGAGGGGCTGCGGCTGCAGCCCCGGGCAGAGGGACCTGCCGCCGCCGCCTCCCCCGGCTTCTGCCGGGGCGGGCGCGGCCGGGGGGCGGCCGGGAGCCCCGCGGAGGGCGGCCCCCGACGTGCCGCCTTCCTCCTCCCCGGCGGAGCCTGCAGGGCTGCTGGAGGCGGCCGGGCCGGGGCCGGGGCCGGGGCCGGGGCCGGGGCCGGGGCCGGGGCCGGGGGTGACCCCCGGGAGGCGCTGGGGCTGGGAGTTCCCGCCCTGGAACTGGTGCAGATGCAAGTGTTGGAGCTGGAGCTGCTGGAGCTGCTGGAGCTGGTGCAGCTGCAAGTGGTGGAGCTGGAGCTGGAGCTGGCCGCAGGGCTGTCTTCCCCCTGCCCCGCAGCCTCGGAGCGCAGCAGCCTCTCAGCCTCCTCGCTGCACTGGCCCACAATGATATCGATGATGCCATCGACCAGCGGTGCTGTATCTTCCGCAAGGACAGGCTGCAACAGCTGGACCATGACCACACGATCTGGACCATAGAGGCACAGGGCGTGCAGGATGCGGCTCTCCACCCTGTGTGCCAGCCGCCACCGGGACCCATATATTGCCTGCAGCTCCCGGCGCAGCCAGGGCAGCACGGGGTCCAGGAGATGATGCTCTTCTCTTTGGAAGAGTTCTGCCCAGACCTGGGGCAGGAGGCCACCCACAGCTTCTGTCCCTGCAGACCCCTGCTCAGCTGGAGATGTCACGGCACGATGGGGGCTGTTTTCGGCCAGGGGGCTGTTTTCTGGCAGATGGCTGGGAGCTGTTGCTAGGAGGTGTGTGCCGACACACTGTAGATAGTCATTTCCTG